TATATAGCCGAATCACTTGGAACTTCATCACGTGATTATGGAGGCCCTAAGGAAGAACCTATGTACGTGAAATTTCATTTTTCGAAAATAAAAAATGTATTTTTCTCGGATATGAACAAAAAAATCATTTTTTGTTCAAAAAATGAAATTTAAAGAGCATTGCGTTCTTCCTTAGGGCCTCTATGATCTCGTGATGAAGTTTTAAACGATTCGGTGCACCCTATTTATGGAGAATAATTTTATAAATGTTTTAACCTTTTGACATGTATAGAGCGTTGATGAAATCTTGTCCATGAAACTTTCCTCCAAACTGGGTGTACCGAATCGATTCAAACTTTACAATATAAACATGGAGAGTATAAGGAAGGTCCTGACACTCATGAAAATACATTTTTTATACAACTAATTTTAAAATAATTATATATATATACAAATTTTCTTAAAATTGAAATTTCATGGGTATCGGGACCTTCCTTACAGCCTCTATATTCACATTGTAAAGTTTTAAACGATTCTGTACACCCTGTCCGGAGAAAAGTTACATAAACGAGACCTCCCCGACGCCACTTTCGTGTCACCTTAAACCCCTCCCAAATCCTCTATGAATTATTAAATTATCGCAATAGTTTCGGTTAGATTACTCGAACATAACCCTTTAGTGCCGGCCAAAGTAATTAGCACTTGTAAAATGCCGATATATTGCTGTCCGGCACTAAAAGTGTTAAATTCCCTTGAATTTACAAAACACTAATTCTCGATTCCCAGGTGAGTCTCTCTCGTTCGCTGGCGGCGCCGGAAGAGGCGCTGGTGGCGATCGAGCTGGACGTGGCGCGCACCTTCCCGGCGCTGAACGTCTTCCGCGAGGGCGGCCCTCTCTGCGCGGCCCTGAAGAGCGTTCTAGCGGCATATGCGGTCTTCCGGCCGGACGTGGGCTACGTCCAGGGGATGAGTTTCCTGGGGGCGGTGTTGGCGCTGAACATGGAGCCAGCAGACGCGTTCATTTGCCTGGCGAACATGCTGAACGGCCCCTGCCACCGGGCGGCCTACGCCCTGGACGGCGAGCGCATGATGGCGTACTTCGAGGCCTACAAGGTCGCCCTGGCCGAGTGTCTTCCTCGGCTGCACCAGCACTTCGTCGCGACCGGACTGACGCCCGACCTCTACCTCCTGGACTGGCTGTACACGGTCTACGCCAAGGCGATGCCGCTGGACGTCGCCTCGCGGGTCTGGGACCTCTTCCTCAGGGACGGCGACGAGTTCCTCTTCAAGGCGGCCCTAGGCGTGCTCCACCGGTACCAGGATAGACTCCTGGATCTGGACTTCGTCGGCGGGGCTCAGTTCCTCGCCAGGTTGCCCCAGGACATGCGGGCAGATGATCTCTTCCGCAGCATCGCCAGGGTGTCCAATACTCTAGGGCCGGCTTTCGCGGCGAATCTGGCGCAGAGGGTCGCCTCGTAGCGCTGTGTGGCCTTGAGAATGGGTTTCCCCGAGACCTGGGGGTCGCCTTGAAGAGGACCTCGAGGAAGAGCCCTGGTACCGCGTTTTAGGACGCAATGCACCTTGAGGAGAGACGTATACTCGGAGTTCCTCTTCAGGGTGATCCTCGGCATGCTCCACTGGTACCAGGACAGGCTCCTGAACCTCGATGAAGAGCCCTGGTACCGCGTATCAGGGCGTATTACTCCCTGAAGAGGGGTATATTCGAAGTTTCACTAGACCACGAGTCCTTCGGGTTGGCTCTTTACCTGTATCAGGGTAAATTGGTGGACCTTGACGTCATCGCGTATCTGGTTCAGAGGATCGTACACTGGGAGACATCGATGCCCTCCCATTCTGCACCGGCGATGTCGTATCTGCAGGGGAGGCATTCATGTCCACAGTGTACGCTGGGAGGCATCGATGCCCTCCCATCCTGCACAGGCGATGTCGTATCTGCAGGGGAGGCATTCATGTCCACAGTGTACACTGGGAGACATCGATGCCCTCCCATCCTGCACAGGCGATGCGTATCTGCAGGGGAGGCATTCATGTCCGCCATTCTAAGTGCATAAGTAAGATACGCGTTATCTAAATAGTTCCACTAAATTGGAAGGAAATTAGCAGTGATCGTAAACTTCAACGTCGTTTATTTCCTGAATCATTTTTCTACCCACTCTACGAGTTTGATACTTCATTAATTTACCTTTATTAAAAGAAAAAAAAAAATGCCTTAAGTGAAAGTAACAAATTGAGTGGTATCATATTACACGGCGTTACATAAGCCGTTATCAATATTCCAATGGTTTTATATTCGAGTAAGACATTATTATTCACTCGGTTGATCGGAATGTTATTGATAGTGAAAACAACCTGCTGATATCCTGAAAGGTTTTCAATGACTTAGGCATTACTTTAAAATCCAGTCCATTGGATTTCTGGAAGTGTTCGGGAAGTGATAACACTCCACATCCATTGATAATATTTTTAATACGAAAATTTTATAATAATAATCATAAATAACATATTGGGACAGCGGAAGCTTTCCGATAGCGCAATGAACATAATTTCATGTATGTTAGACAAAGGGTTCCATTGTTGTCGACATGTATTAAATTGGAGTAAAAATTCTTAACAATTGACCTCGGTCTCCCTTATAATCGTACTACAAACTCCCCCGAAATTTATCATTCTTCTTAACTGTGTATCCCGTGGATGATCTTGTTGACCAACATCAACCCATTGACGCAGTTTCCTATCTAATGAACACACGGTCGAACATCTCCCATCATCGATCACTATTCAGCTCCACTCTGGACGAAACTAACGACACTATTTCCAGCACTTTGCAGCACTTTGCAACACTTTGCAGCGCTTTGTAGCGCTTTGCAGCACCTTGCAGCGCTTTACAGCGCCCTGCAGCGCTCTGCAACGCTTTGCAGCTCCTATTTTGGCCTGCAGTATCCATCGGGACACCTCAGCCAACTCAAACTATAGTATTCACCATTCCCCTTTCGCCTAGAACAAGTTAAGCGAAAGTTAGCGTAGGAGCTTAGAAGCGAGGTGCTGGATCAAGATGCTTCCTTGAAACCGGCGTCTTTAATGATCTTGATGACCACAGAAAATCTTGTTGACCAACATCAAAGCATTAAAGCGGTTTCCTGTCTAATGAAGACGTGGTCTGACATCTCCCGCCATCCGTCACTGATCAGTTCCACTCTGGACGAAACCAACGACACCATTTCCCTTGCTTTCCAGCGCTTTGCAGCATTTTGCGGCGCTTTGTAGCGCTTTGTAGCGCTTTACAGCGCTGCAAAGGGAAAAATGCAATGCTGCAACCAAGGGAAATGTCGTTGCCTTGGTCCAGAGTGGATACTTCAGATCAAAATAAGCGCTGCAAAGCTCTGGAAAGTGCTGGAAGGCAAGGGAAATGGTGATTCCGTCCAGAGTGGACATTATTTTTCTTGGTTGCTAGCTTTGCAGTGCTGTGCAGCACTTTGCAGTGTTTTGCAGCGCTCTGCAGCGTCTATTTTGGCCTGCAGTATCCGTCAGAACACCTTAGCCAACTCAAACTCTAGTATTCACCATTCCCCTTTCGCCTAGAACAAGTTAAGCGAAAGTTAGCGAAGGGGCTTGGAAGCGAGGTGTTGGATCAGGGTACTTCCTTAAAACAGGCATCTTGAATGACCCCCTGACGCGTCGGTAGACGAGGTCATGGTTCAAGAAAAGGCAGAAGAGGCGCAGCTCAGACCCCGAAGCGGACGCTGCGGTCAATCGGTGGCAAGTGAGCAGTAGCCGAGCCTTCCGGAGGAAGAGGCAGACGTGATAAAGTCGCGTGCGTGACCCGTGCCGGCTGACTTCGCTCCTGGCACCTCGCCCCGACTCGCTCAACGTCGCTCAACCTCGCTCAACCCTGCTCAACCTTGCTTAGACTCTCTTACACTACCTTAGACTAACTTAGACTCGTTCAACGTTGCTCAACCTAACCCCACTCGTCCTGGACCTCCGTTCCCCATACCGAAGGAACACCCTTCTTCAATCCATACACGCATTCAACTCTCCAGAACTTCATGGCATAATGCGTGGCTTTCAGCGCTTTCAGCGCTTTCAGCTGGACTGCACAGTCTTACACCAGTTGTATCTAGGGTCCTAGTCAATCGATGCACACATTCAACTCTTCTGAATTTCGTTGAATAAAGAGGGACGTTCAGCGTTTCCTGCTGGACTGCACAGTCTTACACTAGTTGTGTCTAGTGTCCTAGTCAATCCTCGCACGCATTCAACTCTCCAGAATTAGATCGTCCTCGATCGATCCAATACCGTAGCGTTAATTTAGAATTAGATTTAGATTAGTTAACTAATCAATTCGACTACGCTAACGGTACGAGCGTACCTGTGCTCGAACCACGCCATCATAACCTCTCCGCCAAGGGTAGAGGACCGCCATAGAACCCTCGTGGTCAAGGCACTCGTCTCCCTTTTTCGATGTTTTAGAGGTCTCTTCTTTAAGGTGAAGTGAAACCCCTTTCAAATCAGTCAATTCGAATACAACACTTTTTTTTAAGGGTATTAGACCAAACTAATTAAGACTCAACCTATCCTCGGAGATCCTTCCAAAACCTTCTCCGAGGTGTCCTTATCCTGAGATTTTCATCGCCAAGGCAGAATTTGTTCATCCTACAAAAAAAAAAAAAAGACTTTCTCCGGCACCTACGCGACTAGCCTCGGGTTGTAATATACAAAACATTGTCGCACAGTTCACTATTCCATATACGTAAGTAAACATTCGTTATTACCCGAAAATACTCGCGGGAGTTTCCGTTAAAGTTAGCGCAAGATCCGTCGCACTGTAGTGCGCGGAACAAGAACTTCACGAAATCCGAAATCCTCCCCAGAACTCCATAATGCTACAGTAATTTGTGCCAAATGGGGTCCAGGTAATCGATGCAGGCTTGCAGTAATCGCAAACAGTAATCTGGCGTTAAGTGAGATCGAAGTCCGAACGAAGCAAGCGAAATGATCGCGTATGAACCGCACCGTAATGATTAATAACGCGGTGATAACTGGGGTGATAGGTTACCTAACGGACAAGGTGAGTCATTTAAAAGTTAGAAGGGTCAGGTCGAGAAAAGCAAGATGACTCTTGGTGAGGTGCATTAGCACGATTGCACCGCCGAGTGGCGCTCGAGTCAGCTGTTCCCGCTCGTTAAACTACCGCACTACGTGGTACTCCCCTTATAATTTGCACCTGGTACTTTGATTCTATCGTTGGCCCCTTACCATCGCGATAATGCGCGGCTAACGCGAGAGGGGGCCCCGACGTGGGGTTGATTACTTCCTAATCCCTGATGCGAAACGCCCTATCGAAGGAAGGATCCACGCCGAACCATTACTTTCGATAGGGACCCCATGACTCCTGCCGACATCTTTCTGGTCAAGGGTTCAAAGTCGCTTCGACCTCTTCAATCTTATGAACCAGGGACATTGAACTGCAGGTGACCTACTACAGTTATTTATAAAGATTTACTTGAGATTCTGACGTATACAACATTGCATCTTATCAAAGGCAGGGTTCATGTTGAACCGTTATCGTCGATAGGGACCCCATGACTCCAGCCGACATCTTTCTGGTCAAGGGATCAAAGTCACTTCGACCCCTTCAGTGTTATGAACCAGGGACCCTGAACTGTAGGTGATCTGCTACAGTTATTCATAAAGATTTACTTGAGATTCTGACGTATACAACATTGCATCTTATCAAAGGCAGGGTTCATGCTGAACCGTTATCGTCGATAGGCACCCCATGACTCCTGCCGACATCTTTCTGGTCAAGGGTTCAAACGTGGACATTTTGACCCGTCACATCAACGAATGGTGGTTAGGTTTGTGCTCATCATAAAAGTACACGTTTCAAATAAGCCGAACAGCTAATTGTTTAATGATCGATTGTTAGACTTGTGTTCTCATAGAATAAAACGTTCTAGAATGTACTTTAAACAATTTTTGACTGAATAACCCCTAAACGGCACCATCAGGCCTTCGTGCCCCCGGCGTAACCAACACCACTAATAAGAGTTTGACCGCTATTAACTCGGAATCCGCACCCATTCAATTGGAAAGAGGGTTCGGATAGATTCCGGCATTTCCGAGGTCGGTCGGCTCGATAAACAGCTGGTGGCACGTGTTGGTTCAGGGTGAGGGGTCTTCATCGAGTCGACACGGCACGCGCTTTATTAGGGGACACGGGTACCGGTGTCAAGTCGAGGGGAGATGAGCCCACGCACGCGTCTCTTTAATACTCCCTAATGCGTTGCATGTCCATATTCATTAAGTCATTTCCCGGCCGGGGAGTAAACATTTGAGAAAATATTGTCATTGGCATCCCCACTACCACATTGTGCGCGTGGCAGTGCCACGAAGCATGAAACACACGCCCGTTCGATACCGAAGACGGGATCCACCTGAAATACCTTAAGGGGATGTGAAACACGTCGAGGAACTTGATCGACGTCGGTAAAACAGATTTTTCTAAATATCTACGTTGCTGACGTTGGTTTCTATATTGACAGCTGCGTCGAATTATATTGAGTATTGAAAATCTGCTTGCATTCCTCAAAGAAACATTTCTTGGCAGCGTTGTCATACCATGTGAGAAGTATATGATACATAAAACATAACTAAAAATGTAGAAGGCGTAAAAGTTTATGCCTAACTTTTCTTCCGAGAATAACGACATTCCGGTGCTCGATGCAAAACATATTTGGCGCGAATCTTTGTCGAAGGTCCTGATACAAGATGTGAATCGAGGGAACATTGAATCAAGTAGTAAATGTTTTCCACGTTTATGGGGAACATTTAGTGTCTCTTATTTATA